ACCAACCAACCAACCAACCAACCAACCAACTGTCCTCTGTAAATGTCCCTCTCCACATTCCCATTATCTCATGATACACAGCGTGAGACTGGAGCACACATTTACCAATATAAGAGTCTGCATTTCTGCCCCAAGGCATCAGATCTGCAGTACAGGAAGCTCCTTGATAAACATGGCCTTAGATACTCTTCAACCGCTGAAATTGACTTAAGTTATCAGACTGGGGGGGGGATGCACTGGACATCAAGAAACCAGCCCAAAGTTATTCTGGCTGAGATCTTAATTTCATAACCCCCAGTTGATTTTCTGGCCACCGTAAAAGTCCCCTTTCCCCAGAATGAATGGATTTGGAAAGTTTCTGAAACCAGATTCTGGAGTAAAACACAGCTGATGGGCTTGATTCTATCTGGCAAACCCAATGACTCTCATAAAATGTATGATGCTGATGCTGTAAGCCTGCAACACTTATGACTTAATTTTCTTCAGATTGTCTAATAGTGCATCTTACGAAGCAACATCCAGGAAATAAGTTTTACATTTGCAGCTAATGTACTGACAGCATATAAACCTTATTGGCTGATTTACTGCTCCATGATGAGAATGTACATGGTACCATCTTATCTTTTATCTGAGTCAATGTGGCCAATAAAAATAGGAATTCCAATACGCCCAATTAGTTTAGCTTGAAAGCATCTCATCTCATCTCATCATTAGGGTTGTTATCCATCCAGAGTTTTCTGGGAACCTCATGATGTCTGGTCACTTGGCCAAGGCTGAAAGGGCCAAACCATTCGCCACCTCCTTGGGACAGCGACAAGTGAGCCCTAATGTTAGACAACAGGCAGTTTTGAATTTGCATATATATTTAAATTAATCATAGAGGGCTTGCTTTTTCTGACAGAATGGCAACCACACAAATATATCACCATGAACGGTATGGCTGAAAAGCTAAGATGAGGGGTTGCCTCTCTATCTTTTCATATAGCTTATTAATAAAATGGAGCCAGTGCTCACATTTCACTGTTTCGTAGATTAGAGAAATATAACCTTGGGCCCAACCAAGAATGAATTGGACTTAAGAAAAAACAGAAATAAGATTCATGGTGAAATTCTGTATGTGTCTACCCAGAATAATTTTCAATGGCACTTATTATCAGTGAGTATGGGATTGCAGACATAACTTCCATTCCCTCAAATTTGAGAGTATTCTCCAAGTTCTGAAGAGCACTGCGAGTATCGTACAAAGGACAAGAAAAATACAATTGGGGAACTAAAACAGAGTTGTCTGGATAAACCACCATTATTACACCATTTCAGAAGAGATAGCCCCTTCTTTATCCGAGAGAAGGGATGCCTCTTCAAAGAAGACGCCTGCCATACATATATTTTTAACTGCAAGTGCTTGCATTAAAAGTAAACTTCCTTTTGAAAAAAATATTCTGCCCAGGTAATTGGGCGCAAGTTTTTCTGACCGCTCAAGAACAATTAAATGAACTGATTAATTGACAAAACCTGTAGCTCTAGTAATAATCACTCATCGTTTAAAATGTAGGCAACTGCTGTGAAGAGGTTTTAATGACAATTCCTAAGTGCTCAGTCCAAAGATGTAGGCAGGAAAGATGTCCACATTTTAGCAAGGGCGATAACAAGCTCAGGACTGAAGCAGTTGCCCCATTATCTGATCTGATGGAAGCATGAAGCTCTATAAAACAAGGGGAGAGAAGCCTCTCTGAAAAATGCAAGAAGACAGAGGAGACTTGTCGGGGTACAGTGTCACTTTGCATTGGCTAATGAGTGTAGTGAACATTGGGAGGCAAGGTGTGCTGCTAATGTGGAACACCATTCACAGGAAATCTGCTATGGCAGATGCCGTCAAAGTAGGCCATGCTTAGATAATGCAGCTGACGGGTGGCAGAGCAAACCTGTGGGCTCTACTTCCCTGCAGGGTAAGCACACGTCCTTTCAGTTTAGTGAAGTGGACGTTTCTCACCACCCTCCCTCTTTCCTCCATCCAGGAATGCGGCTACTAACAGTCTGGCCCATGAAGTGCTCTTCTGGCACAAGGAGACCTATCTAAATGAAAGGAACCTGGGCCAGGACAACAGCAGAGAAAGGCTGTGTATTACACTCCAATCCTTGGCCCATTTACTTGATGGGAAGCCCCGCTGATTTCCAAGGAGCTCGTTTCCAAATAAGCTTGCTCAGATCTTGGAAAGATTGCTTTTTTTAATATTCATGTTATTCATGAATTTTGAGCCCCTGTTGACCAGCTTATGTGCTCTGAGCAGGTCACATGACTTCCAGCCCACTGCACTGCCCCCAGACAAATGCGGAGCTGAGCCTAGATAATATTTTATTATAGCTGTGCAACAGCTTTTGACAAGGATGGGAGCTGTTCTGGGCATGGTGAGAGGAAAAGGGAGGAAGAAAAAGAAATGGAGAATGGGATTGGTTAGTGTAGAGCCAAGGAAGCAGCAGCCAATGGAGAAGGACCAAGAACTATCTGTAGCCCTTCCTCAAGGGCAGACCCAGCTTTTGTCCTAAGCAAGTCAAGCAGATTCATGGAGGATAAGGCTACTAACCCCGATGGATATGCTTTGCCTCCCTGGTCAGAGGCAGCACACTTCGGCTGCTGCATTTAGGTTTCATTTGTAGGCTTCTCATAGGTATTGGGGTGGCACTGTGAAAATAGGATGCCAAACCAGAAGGGCCGCTGGCCTGATCCATCTGTTTGTATGTATGAGACTGAAGGGGTGAGCCTCAGGACACTTTATAATGTGCAAGGGATTGTGGGCAGTAGACCTTTCAGGTCCCACAGCAGCACTTGGGTTAGTAGAAGTTCTTGGCCATTGGACTCAACAAAACAGACCTTTCCAAGTCTGCAAATCTTCCACCACATGCTACACATGCATTTACAAATGGTTCTTAATGATCACAAGGGCTAGGAGCTAGTGTTCTTATGCTACCTGATTTTTGTCTAGATATCTGCTGTGTGGCATGTACATACCACACACTCTTCTCATCCCCCGATGCTTCTATAGATGGGCTGGAAGTCAAATGCCTTTCGTAACAATGGCAAGTGCAAATGGAAAAGGGAGTGGTTTCTCTTTGTGCCGGTGTTTGATTTCTTTCGTCGTGGTGCTTTTTATTTACTTTTCCACTCATTCTTTTCTGATCATTCTTTTATTAGTTGCTGGACCAGGGGTTAAATGCTGTACAACAAGTCCACTCCCAGAAACGGGTTCAATGACTGGTCAGAATTGCATAAACTTGCCATGTATTCAAAAGCTCCCTGGTAGTGATGAGTCAGGGCGAAAGGATGATTGAGGTGAAATGCCTCTGTGTGGTTTTTAGAAAAATGCAATTTGCATCAGTGCAGTTGGGGACTAATAATGGATGGGATCCGATAACGAATGAAACCATTGTGTGGACCTCAGAGATCCTCCCTCTTCTGAAGCTTGTATTTGCTTTTGAGGTGTGGGGGTGGGGGGAAGAGGCACCAAAACAACCTCAGACGTCAGAAGAGGAATTTTCCTTAGGACTGCAGCAGGGGAAAGAAAAGGTTAACTACCACTCCATGCCTGCCCTGATCCAATTACTTTAACAATCAACCCCCCCAGCTGATGCAATTTGCATTTAACCTCACTCACTGTACTTTGACCCTTATTTAACACTTAAAAGAAAGAAGAATGTGCTAAGCATTTCATTGTTTGACAATATTTCCTTTAGAACCACACAGTTAACATAAGGAAATATGTTATATACATATATCAACAAAACCCTACATTATTATTTTTGGGGGGTGGGGAATCTAAAATTACAGTGCTGCTCCCTAAAAGCCACCATCAAGCCTGCAACTGTGGTTTTGTTCATGCAGTGTGCAATCACATCCGTGGTCTTTGGCATCTGAGGTGTATGATAAGTCCCAAAGCCACTAGCTGGCACTGAGCACTGAAACCAGAGGCTGGCCTGCTTGTATAGGGCAGCAAAGTTCAGCTGTTGCTTCACCACACCATCTGTTAACTCCACTTTTGGGGTTTGTTTTGGGTAAAGAACCAAGCAGATGGATATCGACATAGCTGCCACCCTCTGGCCTTAATTAGCATTCTGGTGCCTTTATTTAGGTGCATAACAAAAGGGAGGTACAGTCATACCTCGGGTTATGAACGCTGCGGGTTGCGTGTTTTGGGGTTGCGGACAGTGCCAAACCTGGAAGTACCAGAATGGGTTACTCCTGGGTTTTGGCGCTCGCACATGTGCAGAAGCACAAAATGATGTCACACGCATGTGCAGAAGCGCCGAATCGCATCACACACATTGTGCAGACGCGGTGCTTCAGGCTGCGAACGCTGCGGGTTGCAAACGTGCCTGCCGCATGGATCACGTTCGCAACCCGAGGTATGACTGTACAGTGGTACCTTGGGTTACAGATGCTTCGGGCTACAAACTCTGCTTACCAGGAAGTGGTTGCTCCAGGTTAAGAACTTTGCCCCAGGATAAGAACGGAAATTGTGCGCCAGCGGCGCAGCGGCAGCAGGAGGCCCCATTAGTGAAAGCACGCCTCAGGTTAAGAACCGTTTCAGCTTAAAAACGGACCTCTGGAATGAATTAAGTTCTTAACCCGAGGTACCACTGTATTTTGGAGACACTTCACATCTAATCAATACAACTCAATTCTGTTCCAAAGTAATGTTTACCAAACTTTTCCTCCTATAAACACTCCTTTGGGGATGAGACAGGATTTGAGCACATGTGGAATCTCAGAGCTCTGATTCAATTTGTTTTTAGATTTGGAGTTCGCTGCATGCACTGGTGATGGCAACAAAGACTGCTTTTTGGCTGGCTTTAGATATTGTGCATTTTGCTAATGGATTCCTGGGGCATTTATAAAAGAAGGAGCTGAAGACGAGGTGTCTGTCTTTACATTGCATGAATCAGAGTGCCCTAGAGACAACTGCTGCTATTCCATCCCAATTTATTAACTGTATCACTCATCTCACCTGAGAGTTATATGAACCCAAGCGGGGAAAGATTAATAGCATTCTTGACACGTTGAACCCAGCTATGAAGTCATCATGTTGTAATGGTGAAGTCAGAGACAGATCACTAGATGCCTGGAATTAAGTGCTGAAAAGGTATGAGAGAAATGCAGAAAAATGAGGTAGGGGGGGTGTTTTTTAAGGAAGAAAGAGAGAGGCACTCATGCAGCAAGCTGATCAGGGCAGAGGTGCAGAATAATCAGACCTCAGTGAAAATGCATTTCTATTGCATATTAAACAAGCATTTCAAACTGGTATTGCACCCTAGGAGTATTTAGCCAGGTTAATGTAGCTTTTGGGTTATAGCTGAGCCACTAAGCAGCATATATTCCCATTATAATCAATAGCATGATTGCCATGTAAGTGGTTTAGCAATGGTGTCTTCTGCAACCATTGTCTAGAGCACTCCTGTGGTTTAACCGACTGACTGCTTTAAAAGAGTACTTAACAAATTTGATCAGGAGGTGGTTTCTATTAGGGCATGTAGAGACCAGCCTGGGCATTTCTGGGCCCAACTTAAAGTGCTGCAATTGAACTTTAAAGCCCTAAATGTTTCATGATGACTGCCTGTGCCCACAGCCTGAGACCTGCCTCAGAAGCCCTACTTTCCTGCCTGTCTGTGTGTGAGAGCAGATTCAGATGAATTTCAAATCCCAAATCAAAATGGGATACTTTGTGGAGGCATTTTGAACTTGTCAGAGGTGAAGCAGGATCTTTACAATATGGTACAAGTTGAAGCAAGGAGCCCGGAAGTGCCTTATGGGACTTCAGCGATTCAGACATCAAAAAATACAGCAGACAAGTGTCTGCTGAAAGCAAAAGTAATGTCTCTAAAGATACCATAATATCTGGGTGTGGTGATGGAGGAAGGGAGAGCAAACAGCAAAAAGGCACAGGAGGAGTGCTCCATAATGACTGACAGGTCAAGCTTGCAATCAAAGGGAATTTTTATATTCAGAAAGTGAATCCCTTAGTTCTTTCTACTCCAAAATCCATTTTAAAGGTGCCCAGCACAAAGTCCCTAGACCTATATGTCTGCAATTTGGCAGGTTCCCCGTGCCCAACAGGAGTGTATCTATAATATATGCAATTTTCAGCCACTAAATATAATGAGTGATGATTCCCACCCTAAACCTAAACCTGCCCTCAGAATACATATGTCATCCATTTTTGCCCCAAATTTAAAAGATATAATTGGTTCCTTTTTTGGGGAGGGGGGATGAGGTCACATTTTAAAGACCCTGGACCTCTTTGCCTGTAATTAGGCTTTAGCCACCGTGATGAGCTACTATGCATGCAAATGCCATCTACTTCTGCCAAAAGAGAAAAAGTTTTTTTTAAAAAATTCCCATGAGGTGAAATGAAGCAGACTTGAACTCCTGATACAAATCCAGCAGCCACTGAAATTGTTCCATCCAGAATGGACTGTTTTACGAAACACTGAATTGTGATCCAAGCCAAATTTTATGGTTGGTGCACACCCCTATGGCAGGTACAGGGACAGGGCCTTCAAATATTTTAAATTATAAATAAATATTTTTCTGGAATTGGAGCCTTTTTCTGATCTTCTGCATTCTTAGCTACTTCACAACTCAATGGAGACACTTCATAGTTTCCCACATTTTCTTATTTTTTGTACACCACATCAGAATTACCAATGTGTGGCACCCAATGTGTACCCAATGTGTAGGGGTTTACTGACACATTCTGTGGCATAGTTTGAAGACAAGTGATGGCGCAATCTTGCAGAAACTCTTTGTCTTATCAGTGCCTAGAGAAAAGACTGGCTGAGAAAATATATATATTTCCAAGGAGCAAAGACAGGATATAAATGAATAAATTTAGCATAATATTAGGATACCCCAGAATCATGAGTAGAACATACATTAATTCAGGAAAAGCATGATGATTAGTTCTGAAACAAGGGACAAACTATAAATCAGATAAATTTCTCTGGGCCCAGAAAACAATCTCATTTCAGTGAACATTCTCAAGACCCTGTCATTCAGGGGTGCCAACAGGATATTCTGCGCCCAGTGCACTCTGTGTGGATTGAGACCCCCAACTCACTCATAAGGCAAGTGACTTTTCATAGACGACAAGAAGTGGGAAAATCTCCATGGCTTGCAGATTGATATAAATATACAATGTTTCCAGACAACCTGTGTATTAAGGTTGAATGTTCATCCCGATTTGTTTGCAATGAAATAAGACAACATTGGCTATTTAATGAACATTCATACTGATTGGTTTGTGGGGAGGTTAGACGATGTTGCATCAAAGCAAGTGTTATCCCACATTTTCCGTCACTTTCCTTATCTCAGAAGTCTGATCCTTTGCTGGTATGTGACTGAATTCCACTCAAAAATAGTGATGATCTGGAAGCTCCTTTGTTCACATAAGGAGATACAGTGGTACCTCGGGTTAAGAACTTAATTTGTTCTGGAGGTCTGTTCTTAACCTGATACTGTTCTTAATCTGAGGTACCACTTTAGCTAATGGGGCCTCCTGCTGCCGTCATGCGATTTCTGTTCTCAAAGATCTTAACCTGAGGTACTATTTCTGGGTTAGTGGAGTCTGTAACCTGAAGCGTCTGTAACCTGAGGTACCACTGTATTGGGGACTCAGCTAGATCGGTAAAGAAAAAGCGATTTATGTGCGTTGTATATGCGATATAACACTGTGCCACTAGATGACGCTGCGGAGTCCCATTTCTTCCCTACCTGAAACGCTTCTTTGATGTGTGTAGATTGGCCTAATCCAGCAGGCTCTTCTGTTTTTATCACTAGTTTACATTTAGCACATGCTGAGAGTAACTGGTTCCTATTGCACTTCCACTTAGTACCTTCCATGAAGAGATAATTTCATAATGCCTTAGCTCTCAGGGGTTCCTAGTTCACCATACAACCTAACCACCAGCCCTCAATCTCAACAGAGGTCACAGTCTGAAAAAGGCTTGGAGACGAGGTTTCATTATCAGTCACAGAAATAATCCTTGTTTTTTGAAATGCAGCCGTGAGATATGGCTTCTGCTGCACAGAGCTCTAGGTTTGCAGATGGAAGAATTGTCTCGAGGGCTAACAGCCTAGCACCTTTTGCCAGCAAAAGATGACAGGAATAAATAAACTCTTGCAATGAATGGTTTGCTACTGCCATTTCTGTAATGAGGAAGGGTCTGTTTTCAATCAGTGCTGCTCCCTGCTTTCACTTAAGTGTATTCTGTCATTGATTGTCCCCTAAGGGCTGGAGCACAGATAGCACTGCATCAAATAATTGGAAAGTCAAACTCTGTGTTCTATTACTCATGTTAACAGGCTCTCCAGATAGTAGATGCTTCAGATTGAGAGCTAATCATCACCACCACCAAGGACCATGCGGATGTGTGTGTACCTTAGTCACATGAGACATCTTCCTGGCAACAGCCAATGAAACGGCCTGCCTGGTTTTTGCAAGACAAAGCAGCTGATTTATAAGATGTCTAGCTAGGGGTAAAGAGGGGAATCGAGCAGAGGTGGAAGAGAGAGACAATTGGAGACTGGAGTTGGAACTGTGGTACATAATTGCCTGCTATAGCAACCAGCACCAGGCCGTGTGCGAAGGACCTGCAGTTGCTGCAGCTTTAGCCCCCTCTACAGGGCTCAACTTACCTCAGAAGCTGAGGCACATCATGGCACTTCTTGTTTGCACTTACTTCTCAAGCTTATTTAACAGATGTTCTCCACTCTTGCCTTTCTATTCTTTTCCAGGGGAGTAGACAGCTGCATTAGTCTCCGGCAGCAAAAGCAGCATAGAGTCTTGTGTCACATTTAACTATTTATTATCATTTTATTTACTTTTGACATTTATATCTCGCTTTTCTGCAAGGAGTTCAATGTGATGTACATTTTATTCTCACAACAACCCTGTGAGGTAGAGTTAGGCTGAGAGAGGCAGTGAATGGCTCAAGTTCACCCAGTGAGCTTCGTGGCTGAACGGAGATTTGAACCTGGGTCTTCTAAACCCTAAGTCCAATACACTACCCTCTGTACCATACTGGCTCTCATCTAAATTGTAGCTGATGAAATGACCTTTAGTTCGCAGAAGCCTATGCCATAATAAGTTTCTATAGATTTAATAAATAAAACAATAATAACATTCTTTTTGATACTGTTACTCTTCATTTTTTTATTCTTTGTAACTTACCTTTTCATTAAAAAAGCATAATTGAATTTATGGTTTTCCATTTTGTTTGAGCCCCCTCCCAATAATAATGAATACAAAATATTCATATAATTTACAAACTTTTGCAAAGCAGTAATGATGTAACATAGAGAACTAAAAGTTAAAGGCAGTGGTAATTGGCTTGAAATATTATATCCCGAAGACATGCCAAGTAAGGAAAAAGGGTAAAGGACTCCTGAATGGTTAACTCCAGTCAAAAGCAACTGGTGGCTGGGGAAACCCAGCCAGCTGGGTGGGATATAAATGATTTATTATTATTATTATTATTATTATTATTATTATTATTATTATTACTATTACTATGTGAGGCGCTAATCTCGCTTCAGGCTGAGGGAGCCAGCATTTGTCCACAGACAGCTTTCCAAGTCATATTGCCAGCATGACTAAACCGCTGCTGGCATATGCAGGACCATAATGAGTGCCAGAGCACATGGAAACGCAGTTTACCTTCCTGCCACAGCGGTACCTATTTATCTACTTGCACTGGTATGCTTTTTGAACTGCTAGATTGGCAAGAGCTGGGACAAAGCAATGGGAGCTCACTCTGTCGCGGGGATTCAAACCCCCGATCTTCTGATCGGCAAGCCCAAGAGGCTCAGTGCTTTAGACCACAGTACCACCCACTCTCCAAGCCACATCAGTAGGAAAAAAGTAACATAAATAAATCCACATCAGTTAATTTTTCTCAAATAAGGGTTTGCCACTTACAATTATTATGAAACCACATGGAAAGAGGGGGAAATACATTTTCAAAAGTCAGTCCCTGGCCACAGGCTGCCCACCTGTGCCCTGGAAGTGGTGGCATTTCTTCATGTACAGAGTGCAGAGTCCTCTTGCACATTCCGAGTGTCCATATAAGGGACCATCCCTCACATACCACATAGCTTCTAAAATTATGGGCATTGTGTTAGCAATAATAAGTAGCAATAATAATTGGTACAGAGTGCCTACATTCAGTTAGGGGGAAAAAGGAAATTGAACTAAATTGAAGGGGAGAAGATCAGACAGGATATACTAATGTGCTACAGTACTATGAAGTGAAAAACATTACCAATATAAAATATTACCAAAGGGTGGGAGGAAATGTTCTGGTGGTTAGTTTTGGACCCTGTCCCTGTTCATCTACATACTGATAGAATGGTATTATGTTGCTTTTTATTTCTCTCCTAATTCTGACACCTCAGGCGTCTTTGGTAAATTAGAACGGGGGGGGGGGGGAGCATAGCTACCCCAGCTTTACTACAGGAGCTTAATACCATTCTGCAGCGTGCTTAGCATAGTAATTAATCTGGACCTGGACCCAATTAAGGATATATCTGCCTGCAGGGAATGTTCCAAGTGTCTAACACACCAGCACTTTGCTCCAAAGTAGTTTTAAAACACTTTAAAAAAACCATCTTCAATAATTCCTCCTGGCTCTACTTGTTATACATTTATGTATTTTCAGGGATCTGTTGGGGCAGTTGACTTTTATTTTTATTTATTTAATTTATATCCCATCCTTCCTCCCAAAGGAACCTAGTTCCATAGGTCAATTGTGCATTGTAAAGAATATGTGTTTTTCATATTTAATGTATGTGCTGCCTTTCTATGTCTTATGGAAATACATCCCATATTATCCCAGGGGATAAAATTGTGAATTGTAGATCCCAAGACATCTTTCACATCTCATTTATCATGCTGGAGATTTTGTGCTCGTTACAGACATATTCTGTAAGTTAAAATCATTTTTATCTTGTATTTTGAATATTCTCCATCTTCAATTCTATCATTACGGTAACTAGGAGTGAACTCAGGAGCTCATGTGAACAGCTGTTAAAGGATCACATCCTTCTGTTTCTCTGCATAAATAAAACCCAAGTTCCAAACAGTCTTCAAAGTTTTCTAATTAAAGGTAAATCCGCTGATTCTGGTATCAATTCCAACCACAATTTAAAGAGAGATAAAAATGTATGAGGGAAGTCCGCTCTCAACAACTATCATGTTCCAAGTTTGAATTCTGAATCTAATTTTAACAAACCTTTTTCTACAACCATGGAAATGAAAAAAAAATCCTTCCAGTAGCACCTTAAAGACCAACTAAGTTAGTTCTTGGTATGAGCTTTCGTGTGCATGCACACTTCTTCAGATACACTGAAACAGAAGTCACCAGACCCTTATATATAGTGAGAAGGTGGGGAGGGGTATTACTCAGAAGGGTGGTGGGAATGGGTGATTGGCAGATAGCTGTGATGAGCCTGTTGACGACTCTTAACGACTGCAATAGGTCTTACAGGAAAAAGCAAGGGGTGAGAAGGTGAAAAATGGCTTTGTCATGTATAATGAGATAAGAATCCAATGTCTTTGTTCAGACCAGGTCTCTCCATGGTTTTAAGTTTGGCAATGAGTTGCAATTCAGCAGCTTCTCTTTCCAGTCTATTTCTGAAATTCCTTTGTAGTAAAACAGCTACTTTGAGATCTTGTATAGAATGCCCTGGGAGATTGAAGTGTTCTCCTACTGGTTTCTCTGTCTTGTGATTCTTGATGTCAGATTTATGTCCGTTTATTCTTTGGCGTAAGGTTTGGCCTGTTTGTCCAATATAGAGAGCTGAAGGACACTGTTGGCATTTGATGGCATACACAATGTTAGACGATGAGCAATTAAATAGTCCCGAGATGGTATGTGTGATGTTGTTGGGGCCAGTAATGGTGTTGTCCGGGTGTATGTGGCAGCAAAGTTGGCATCTGGGTTTATTGCAGGCTCTGGTGCCAGTGTCCGTGTTAAGTCTGGTTGTAGTATTATTGTGGGTTAGGAGTTGTTTAAGATTGGGTGGCTGTCTGTAGGCAATGAAAGGTCTTCCTCCCAGAGCTTGAGAAAGAGAACTGTCATTGTCCAGGAGAGGTTGTAGATCTCTGATGATGCGTTGTACTGTTTTAACTTGGGAGCTGTATGTGATGACTAGAGGTGTTCTGTTATTTTCTTTTTTGGGTCTGTCTTGCAGCAAGTTCTCTCTGGGTATCAGTCTGGCTCTGTTGATCTGTTGTCTAACTTCATCTGCTGGGTATTTTAGTTCTAAAAGGGTTTGCTGTAGATCTCTTAGGTGAGAGTCTCTGTCTGTAGAATTGGAACAGATACGGCTGTAACGTAGTGCCTGGCTATATACAATGGACTGTTTGGTATGTTTGGGATGGTAGCTAGAGGCATGTAGATATGTTTGTCGGTCAGTTGGTTTACGGTATAAGGTGGTGTCTATGCGCCCATCCTGTATTTTTATAGTAGTGTCCAAAAAATGTATTTCTTGCATAGATTGATTCATTGTTAGGTTGATTGTGGGGTGAAAATCATTGAATTTCTGGTGGAAGGTGTCCAGGGTCTGTTGACCATGTGTCCAGATGATAAAAATATCGTCAATGTATCGCAGGTACAAGAGAGGTTTGAGTGAGTAGGAGTTTAGGAAACGTTGTTCTAAATCTGCCATGAAGATGTTGGCATACTGTGGGGCCATGCGGGTGCCCATTGCTGTGCCGCTGATCTGAAGGAACAGGTCATCACCGAATTTGAAGTTGTTGTGGGTAAGGACAAATTGGCAGAGTTTGGTGGCAAAGTCCGCTGTGGTTTTATCTGAAATGGTGTTCCTTATAGCTTGTAAACCATCGTTGTGTGGGATGTTGGTATACAGAGATTCCACATCCATAGTAGCTAGTATAGTATTGTTGGGAAGATTATTTAAAGATTGTATTTTCCTCAGAAAATACAATACAGAAAATACAGAAAATTCATGGAAATGAAGAAAGTCTCAGGAACTCTGCGTTAAGAGTTCTCATCAATCTCTAAGCATCTGCAAGACCTCAATGCCTTGTAAGCTCTTTCTCTCTCATTACTGAAGAAGGGAACCCACAGTGCCCATTAGATGACATTTCCACACACACTGGCTGTGGGCTTTAATCCTGGGAATCTATTCCCCCATTTTCTGTAGTCCTGTGTGGCACCTCTCTCTCGGCTAAGCAGCTGATTAAAAATGACTCGCTCTTACTGTGCTTGAGGATAAATTGTGGACCATCATTCAGACCTCACTAGTATACTGTGAGACACCACAGTTGTTACACCGCTATCTACAGCAACACCTGCTCATTTAGGGCATGTCTACACAGGACCTGTTAGTGATGGGTCCAGGAGGGCCATTTGGCCTGGGGCCTCCATCTCAAAGAGGGCCTCAAATTTAGTCATCTGTTAATAATATAAAATAAAAAAGGTTAAGTTTTGCAGCTTGATCAGACCAAAATGTGACATACTCTCACATCTTAGAACTATAAACTTAGGCAGGTAAGAGATGTGAACCTGGAGTCTTGCTACTTCAGTTGCTAGTAGTAGTTTATCAGAAGAGCTAATGCACCCAAGGTAGAATGGAATCACTTAGGATACAACTTAAACAGGATCTGCCACATTCCTATGGTCTTATCTACAAGTCTTTATGCTGAGAAGACAGCAGTGGGAGCTGTGCTGAGTGACCTATATATAAAATATTGTGGGTCTGTTCTATACTGGTTGGGACGTGGGTGGCACTG